AACATTGAATTCTTCAATCTTTTGGCCCCTGACTTCAAGTTCAGCAATCAGCTGGTTCATTTCAGATTCAAATCCCTGGAACATGATATTTTTCTCACCTTCAAATTTATCAAAGATGTCATTCTTCATTTCTTCTAAATCTTTGGCTCGATCCCTTTCTCTTTGCATTTCATTCATGATCTCGCGGTGTTCAGCCTTGTGTTTTATAATTCGCTCTCTTCTGTCGACCTCAAAATCTTCCATTTTTTGCTTTCCTTTCTCAAGGCTTTTGAGTAGACGGCTATTCTTTCCTTTCAGATCTTTAACTCGACTTTTCTCGATGTTCAATTCTCTGGTCATCTGTACCGTCGATTGGCTTGGTCCTGATGCTTTCCGGGATTTATATAACTCTTGGTAATTTTTCTTTAATGCTCTAAATTCACCATCAACTTTTTCTTTGTTTTCTCTCAACATTGCACATTGTGATGAATGAAAGTCAATATCAACACCCAACATAGCTTTATCTCGTCTCATTTGCTCTAATTCTCTTGACCAGCCTTCTCTTTCTGCTTCAAACTCTGCTCTCAGGATTTCAATCTCTGATGGAACCACCTTAATGCGATCTTCCATAGAGATATCCTCATTTTGATCTGGTAGAGGAATATTTTCATTTTTCCTGACATATCTCCATTCCTCATAATCGGGAGTTAGCATTTCTTTTGCTGCTTTAGCTCGGATACAAAAAGTTGTTTTCCAAGCTGTAACGGCTTCCATGATATTTCTTTTATAATTTTTGCTGTGAAATGCGAACTCAGATGAATGTAATCCAGCGGTGACAGGTACAAATTGATGACCTTCATACTGTCTTATGACCAGAAGTGGTGCATATCCAATTCCTCCCCATAATCCGAGCAGCATTATCCAATTGTAATCACCACATTTGTAAAAGAATTCCCTTTGGATTTGCCACGGGGCTCGCCAAACAATTTAATTGCTTTGCAGATTTCGAAAGGCATTAATCCACATATCTTTCTTAATTTCTTTCGGCCATTCCTGCTCCAGAAATTCTTTTAATGGTGAGTAATCCGTATTAAAGCGTCGGTATGAAACTTTTTTTGTCCTCCAGAAATGACTACGGATCCAAACATATAACAACTGGGTACACCCTGAGAATCGTCCACCTCCTAGCTTTCTACAAGTATTTAACGATCTGAAGGTCTCTGCTAGAATTGCAGAAGCAGGATTAATCTTTTTCGGTAGCTGTTCAAACAAATCTACCACTGCAGCTTCAACATATCCCAATACTTTTGGGAAGATGACCATACCATACATACCCAGAGCAAATAGATCGAATCGTACTTTAGTATCTGGATGACTCTGAATAAGTTCTTTAATGTTGGTCCAAGCAATGCCTTCGCTTTCGCCTTTTTGTTTTGTACGGGATGCCACCCATTCTTCTCGTACCCCGGCAATCTTTGCTAATTTAACTCGAAAGGATTGAGTTTTAATTGACTTTGAATAGATTCGATTCTCCAAAGCCCCTTCGATATGTAGCAAAGTTGTGTACTCTTCAATAGTAGGGACCAAGTCCTATTTATTGAGAGTGAAGCAATTGTATCCTGGATTCCAGAATTGAATTAGGGCTCTGAGTAATTCATCATCAACTTCAACATAGAGAAAATATGGGATGTCTCCGTAAGTCTGATAAAACTGCAATTTTTTGTTTGAATCCCAACTTTCCCAAATACTTCGCAAATCTTGCATATCATTTTTTTTAGCGAAACTGGAGCATAACTGGCCAAGTCAGATACATAATCATCCTGCAGACTGTCTCATTCTTGTCTTTGTAAGTCCTCAGCCCACTGTCTTACTTCTGAGTTTAGAATTACTTGATTTGAACACTTTTTATCCATGGATGAAGGCTTTCCAATGAGACAATTAACACAAGGATCAATGCCTTTTATCCTGTATGATGCTATGCAAACAGAAAAAATAAAGAACACACAAAAAGAAATGAATTAGTTTACATAATAAAGAAATTTAATAATAACATTTACCTAAATATTTTTATTTAAACATGCTTTTTCTAAATTTAAATAATTTAAATATACATGTAATTTAATCAGTAAAGAAAATAAATAAATTAACAGGAAAGTTAGAATTCATTTCTCCTGTGTGTACACCTATTTTGGACAAAATTTCGGCATGACTTCAGATCGGAAGAATTTCTAGGGTTTATTATATGCATGGTTTCAGATCTAAGAATAAAAGTACCCGAATTGTCCTTGTTAGTGCCCCCTTGGGTTGCTAACCCTCAATCCTAGTCCATCACAGACTAAAATGGATCGAGTTCAATTCGAGGGGATACATTTATCTATGCCTGACACGGAGAATAAATTCTCACGAAGACATAGAGCATATGGACCCCGAAAGTTACTTGCTAGGTCTGACACGGAGAATAAATTCTCACGAAGACGTCGCTTTCACTCCCACTTAAAAGGGACAAACTCAATTATAGAGCTTATGTTATGCAATGCAAGTATTGTGTGTGAGAAGAAATGTTCAAACATTTGACAGAAAAATAAATAATGAAATAAAATACTTGTAAATAAAATGAAATATTAATAATATATATAAATACTATAAAAATAATATGTATATATAAAAAATTATAAATTAAATATATGAAATTTTAATTTATAATTAATAAAGACAATTTATAATTGATTTTTAAAAGTTTGACCAGAGTCCCCAGCGGAGTCGCCAAGTTGTCGTAACCGGTTTTCGCCCGGGCACGAATTTTTTACTTGGCGGAAAAATTGATGTGAATAAATAGTTTTTGAAAATAATTTGGGAGTCGCCATCGGCCTTTTGGGTCAGGTAGGTCGAATACCTAAAAATTATTTTCTTTAAAAGAGTTTTAAGAAAACATCAATCAAAAAATGAACTGATCTGCGTTTATAACCAAAAATTTGTTCTTTTTAATAATAAAAAAGGATTCATGGTCGGTTACGTTTAGGGAAGGATTAGCACCCCTACAACGCCCAAAATTGGTACTTTTTAATTATAAATTGTCTCTATTATTAAAAATTCAAAAAAAATCAAAATATATTTAATTTATAATCCTATTATTTCAAAATTATATAAAAAATATTTATTTATTTAAAAATATCGGAAAAGGACTTCTAGGTGTCTTAAGACAGTTCTTTTCTTTGATATTAATAAATATTAATTTAAATAAAATTAAATAATAATTTTTATAATATTTAATTTTAAAATACCAGAATAGGACATCCAGTTGTATTAAGACTGCCCTTTTCTTCGATATTGAAAAATATTAAAATAAAAAATATAAATTATTATTTATCATATATATTTATGACTATATAATAATAGTAAAAATATTAAATATATAAACAATTAGAACAATAAAAATACAATTAGAACGATATATTTAAAAGCAGTAAAATACATGAAAACATTTAAAATTAGTGACTAAATTATAGTAAAATTAAAATTAAAAACCTAATTCATAATTAATCAAAATTATAGGGATTAAACATGCTATTTTCTTATTTTATTAATTTATTGACTAAAATAAAACTATATAAAATTCGGATATTAGATTAAAATAAATTAAAACATATTATCAGATTAAAATATTAATTATTAAAATTAAGGGATTAAATCTGTTATTTATCCTAAATATATTATTTTAATACAAAGGACTAAAATAAATAAAATTAAAATTAAAGAACCGAATTAAAATGATTATAAAATCGATTTAGTGACTAAAATGTAAAGTTTACAAATCTTGAACACTGCGGACGGGATTTAACAATTAATATTTGCACAAATAGTCCTTCCCGAAACGACGTCGTTCGGGAAGGCCTATTTAAAGTCCGAAACGGCTGGCCCTTCGGGCCAGCCTTCATTTCTTAGCTTCTCCTCTCTCTCTCTTCTCTGAGAGAGAATTTTCTCTCTCGCTTCTCTCTAAAACAGAGAGAAGCCAGCCGGCCGGCAGCCGTCAGTCGGCGTTCTTCCGCCGCCGGCCACCGTCAAAACTGTCGTCGGCCACCACATCCGGTGGCCGGAAATTACAAAACCCACCCCAAATTAAAGCCTAGTTTCCCCTAAAGCTAAATCCGGAGGTTTTTTAGCCTAAAATACTACTGAAATGCGTAGATCTAAAATTTATACCTTCGACCTTTGACTTTCCGATGGCTCCAAAGAGGCTCTGATGACCAACTGTTCCCTCGGTAAGTTTCTCTTCTCTCTTTTCCTTGCTGTTTTAGTGATTTGTGGTTGCTGGATGTGTTTTTTTTTTCTGTTGGGTTCCTCCTCTTCTTTGCAGGTTGGGTGATGGCTTTATAGCCATCACCGATGCTCATCTCGGACCAGTCCGAAGGGTAGAGTTCGGTGAGTCACCAAACCGTAGGTGGTAACTCACCCCATGGTTGGAACGTGGACGGCGTTCCTTGCTTCCTCTGGATGTTTCTGTTGAAGCGTGGCAGCAGTTGATGAAGGGGTCAGAGAGGCGGCCGGCGTCGTGGCCCTAGGGTATCATAACCCTAGGGTTTCCTGCTGGAACCATCTGGACTGTTGGATCTTGCCAGATCCAACGGTAGCAGGCTGAGGCGGCTGGGTAAGAGGGAAACCCTAATCTGGTTTAAGGTTTCCATTAGGCTTTTGAATTTGGGCCACCATTTGTAATTGGGCCTCCATTTTGGGTTTTGTAATATTAAATAATATATAATAATAATAATAATAATAATAATTATAATAATTATAATTATTATATAAATAACATTAAAATTAAAAAAAATGAATATCTTCAAAAATAATAAAAAAATAATTTAAAGCGATACAAACAAAAAATAATTCAAAAATCAAATGAGTAAATTAAAAAAATTGAAACTAGACCTGAAATTTTAAGCTTATCGGATGGGATAGGTAACTCGGCCGAGGTGACTTTCCCTCCTCTTCTCAACCACAAATAATATAAAAGCAAAAACCCCAGACTAGAGAAACCCACATCACTAAAACTTTTAATTCCCCCCTCTTTTCCCACACAAGTCCCTTATCCGCCGCTCCTCCTCCGAAACCCTCCGCCGCTGCCGCCATTTTCACGGTGGTGTTCTCTCCAGTATCTGACTACCCTCCATTATCGACAACCCCTCAGATGGCAGCAGCTGCACCAACTGTTTCCTCTGATGCCACAGTCACTACTCCTTCCGATGGTCCCGTCCTCAGCGTCGTCAACAAACGACTCCGTGCCCTACGCAAGAAATACAACCGCATCCTCCAGATGGAAGAATTCGTCTCCCAGGGGAAGCCCTTGAACAAAGAACAGGAAGAAGTCTTCCGTTCCAAACCCGCCGTCTCCGCCCTCATTGACGAACTCGAGAAGCTTCGTCAGCCTCTCTCTTCCGCCGTATCCGAAGAAATCTCCCTCGCCTTACAGCATCAAACCATTTCTCCCCAACAAGCTACCTCACAACACCAGCCGGAGACCACTCAAGTTCAAGAAGAGCATTCTGATGAGCCCCACCGTGGCGTTGAGGATCTCCTCAAGCTGCTCTATTTCGGGTCGTTGTTCGATGTTAAATCTCAGAACGATTTTACTTCCACCATGTTGACTAGGACTCACGAGAGAGGCTGTTGCTTGACTTACGATTACGTTACCGATGATGCTTCTGATCTTCTCAGCGAGAAAGATTTGGATTCGATTTCGATGCTGAGTGGACTGTTGACTTCACGATCTGTTGATTCCAGTTTGTCTCACCAGAACGCTTTGAACCGCTGCATCCACCATGCCAAGCTTTGGCTTTCGCGTTCAGACCAACTTATTGACCCCACTCTCGCCGTCTCCTGTAATAATTCACTCTAATCATCTATTTAATTTCCTTTTTTATTGTTCATGTTTTGTTTCCTAATATGTTAGATTCCCTTATTATCATTGTAGATGTTGAGTTGAGATGTAGGCTTAAGAAGATTATGGATTTGGAATACTTCACAACCATGCCGGAGATGAAAGCTCCTGCTAAATTGGCAGCTGCTACTGTTGGGACATTTACTTCTTTTCAGGCCGAAGATTCAATCGGCCGATTCGTGCAGAAGGTAACACTTTATTTTTAGTTTAGTTACTGGCGTGGTTAGTTGGTTATGAATTAATAATTTTTGGGATTGAAAAGGATATTTTTATAGCTCAGTTTAATAATGTGGGCATCCAATTGCATCTTTTGCTTGTATCTGTTTGTGTATTGTTAAGTCATGGTTATTGCTTTTGCATGAGAGTTTAAGTAGATTATCTGTGAGTGTTTGAGGAATAGTAATAGGACGTTGTTATCGATGAATTTCTCATGGTCTTTCATTGCAGCTATTTATTTTTTCTATCGATTTTATATGTTCCTGAATCTGTAGCTTGCAAATACAAATTTTACTATGTATCTCTGTTCGAGAATGTACGAAACTGTGCCAGATACAAGATGGAGTGGTGAATGATCGTTTTTGCCATCTTATATGTCATTGGTACTTTCGTGTTATCTGAAACTGTAGATCATTTGTCTTTCAAACTGAAAGTAAATATTAATAATATGCTGTTGAGATCCTTCAGAAGTTGACATTATTGAACTCTATTATTCTTTTTTTAGTATGCCTAAGCTAGGATCACAGATGAGAATTGCTAGCTGCGTCGGTAAATCCACTTCACATAATGTCCTTTTTCTTGGGTGGAGGGAATTGCTTGAGTAAGGTTCTTGGTATTGTTAATGATAAAACCTGATGTAGGGCAACTAGATAGGAATTATATGGTGATTGAAGTACAGGGTAAAGTAAAGGCTACTATAATAGAACGACTAGATGGTAACTCTTGATCAAAAGTTTAATGTACTGGGCAATTGGTTCGTGTTAGGAATTGGATTATACGAAGGATTCCCCATTAATGGGGGATGACTCGAGGTTGATTAATGGTCTGTATATTGGATTTTTAATTCAGAAATTAGAATATGATTTTTGTTGTCTTGAACTTGATGTGTTTGGTAGGTAGTTCCGGCGTTAATTTACTCATTTGGATATGTTTTTTCCCTGTTAATTGTATGATTCCAATAGGTATTATGTTCTTTTTTTCAAGTTTTTATAATTAATGTAGGAAGAAGATGCATCAAATGTTCAAGAATTTGAGACTATTCAACTTAGTGCTGCAGATGAACTTCACAAGGTGCCTTAAGTTATGTAAAGCTATATTTGTTCCTCTAAGATCTTATTTATTTGACTTAATGTTAGGAGGCTTGTTCTCTGCAGAATGAACCAGATATAGAAAATGGTACAGATGATGTTCCAGTTCAACAGGAAAATGGCAAACTACAGGAAGATATAGAGCATAATCAGAGAGATATTGAACCCAATGATCAACACTATGTACCTCGAAGAACTTATCAGAACCAAAGAGGTGGTCGGAGTAATGGGGGTGGCCGTAGGGGTTATTCCAATGGTCGTGGAGCTCGAGGCAGTGGAAGGAGAGGTAGCGCTTACCATCAAAACGGCCGTAGCCAGTATTATGATCAATCCAACAACTATTATCCTAGGAACTACAACAACAGCAGGGGAAGAGGTGGCAGGGGAGGTGGCCATGCTTACAATAATCACAGGTCAGCAGTCCAGAATGGTAGTTATGTTGCGGCTGATGTCAGTGTGGTCTCGTAACAGCTTTTTTCGGTGTCGCTAGGGCGACAAAAATGTTTTTTTTTTGCATGGAAAACATTGTTTGACCATAGGTTGATCATTGATATTGATATGGTACAAATCATGGGCACCCTATTTAAACTTTTCTTTTGGCCGTTAGGTACTTCCAGTGGATTCGTTGATTTAGGAAGTTCTGGTGATATTACTTTTGTGTTTAATATTTCTGTTCTTGCGGCCATGTATCAATATTATTTAGGGTAAATTATGTATTTTGTCACCTAACTATACCCGTGATTCCGTTTTAGAAACCCAACTATTCCTGTGGTAACCCTCCATTTGCTCTCAAAAGGTTACCGCACCCAGTCTTGAGCTTTACCTGAGACCTTTCTCTACTGGGTTCCCACTCAACAGTCGAGGCGGGCTTCCCAGTAGGTGTCTAGATCATTTTCTACCCGTCATGCCTAGTAAAAAGGGTTGGTTTGAGGCAGTAAGGTACTCCATGTAGGAGCTTTTTAGGCGAATGATGTGTGTTTGAGGCACTAACTAACTCGACGTTCCATTGGGCTTTTTCGGAGGATCTGATTCGTATCGTACTTGAGAAACAGATTCTCTGTCTTCCTTTACAAAGAGATACTTGTCATGGTGGCTATGGAGATGCACGACTTTGACATCAAGGAACAAATCCATTCCTGTCCCATGCTTGTTAGAGTTTACCTGCTGAAAGAAAATGTTGAACATTTTAAGGGCAGCCGTGTTTCCGTGTTATCTAAGTTATCTAATTAAGGAGAAAAAAATGTTAAACCGTAGTACCGATTTGGCTGACAATTTCAGCGACCCTATTGGAACCACCGTAAACCTTGGGGACTTCAATGATGACACGGCTGAAACTGTTAACAAAGGGCTTGACAGTAAACTATCATCGCTCGAAGCCTCCAAAACCTCAGTGGACACCGACGAAAAGCTCGAAACCGAAAACAAATGCCCAAAAAAAAAACCCCTCAAAGACTTGGAATACTCTCCCACATGCACCACCGCCACATCCCATAATACCCCTTTCTTCATAGCTCCACTCGGAGGTTCGTCATGAGGGACGATGGAGTTCCGCCATGGCAGCATTCCCCCGTTTGCACGTAACAATCTCCTGTACTATGTCTTCAGCTTGATTTTCAACCCTTCTTTTATGGGCTCCCACCGGAGTTTCCAGTCCACCTTATCCGGCACCGTTTGCAGCACCATTTCACCAGTCGTGCCTGAAATAAAGGGTATATCAGAGGCTGAGAGGACAGTTAACGTTACTATTTTCATGTAGTACAAAATTTACATATTATAATGATACGTTTTCACGTTCTTCTGTATTCATATTATATTCACATTATTTTCTGATTTTATATTGTATTTATTTAACATCTTAATTTATTTCATGTACACATAATATAGTTTATGGAAAATCACATTTTGAATTAAATATAACATTTGCACTATTTCTTTCTCTCTCTCCAACGTGATAGATTCGATAAATTAAAAACTTAAGCTCCAAGTTTCATTGAAAAAGGATCCATTAAGCTCAAAGAGCATTTCGAGGAACAAAGGCATTATTTTTAGGCCTCTGACTTTAACTATCCCCTCGATGATTGTATGGCCACGTGGGTTTGACGTGAATGCCTCTCGCTGCTTACGGTGCTTTATTTTCTTGATTGTGTCATATGAAAATCTTTTTAGGCCTCTCGAATCTTTAAAGTCTTTGAAATGTTAAATCTTTCGACCGTTTACAATCTTTCGATGGAATCATTAATAAATCTACATGGTTTATAGTTTATTGTCTAACAACCATATCTATTTATCATGTCAAATTACGAATAATCATCGTCACTCTAAGTCTGACATCAATATTAAAGGTCTATATATAAGCCATCATACAAAGCTGAAGAAATCGTTTCTCTCTAGAATTATCTTATTATATATCTCTCTCTCTAAGACGGTTATAACTTTTCACTCAAATAAAAAAGAGTGAATCGTAAAAAAAAAACTGCTACATGTAATTTGCACGTGAAGATTTCCACAAAAGGAAATCCAATAACGAGGGCAGCGATAACTTACTGCAACGGGGCTCCCATGAAAAACTAAGCAGCGATTAACAAAGCCGTCTGCGTTTGCCGGTTCGGCAATGGACAGGGACGGATCCATGAAGAGCAGTTGGCCTATCCATCCCCAAAACGTGGTGGGATGCTAATTTGAGCAGGGGAGCCGAGTTGCTTTTGGAGTGAGCCTAACTCGAATTCATGGTATACCCTTTCACCCCCACCTTCCTCATGGCAAACGTTTTATTTCTAATTCCGGGTCGGATAAGTCCAACCCTCATCACCCTAGGACCATCCAAGGATTAAAACGTCACCACCAAATAATACAACATCCACATCTCTTCTTTTCTTTTAAGGAAATACTCCCTAGGTCCTATAATTCGTGTCTTATACCGACTATGCAAGTGGTTTTAGGAGATATATTTGATCAAGGAAAACGATAAAATTATCCTGAAATGTGATTGATAGATTTTACATATTTGTTTGAGTAGGTGTAAAAGAATGGAACATGTGGGTAAAAAATGAAATATAACTGTTGTTTTTTGTTGATTTTCCTAATAAAACATTTTAAATTAAATAATTTTAAAAACCAAAAGAGACACGTTTATGGGACAGAGAGAATATATATTTTTATACCTAACATATGGTGAATCCTAAAGACGATATCATTTATTTTTAAGCTTTTTCTTAGTGTTGATTTCCCTTTTTCATCTTTGATTGATAGGTAGTAGCATCATAATATTGGTCGATCACCTTTTTTTTTCCTTTTATTTTTTTATATTGCATCTATGTTTTTTTTGTTATTTTTAGGGATAAAGAATATAAATGGTCATTCGACTATATGTTTTATTTTGTCGGCTTCCCTGATTAAAAGGTACAAAATAGTCTTCAACTATAGGTCATTATTTTGTTGAGTCTAATCACTATTAAAAGTCACAAAATGATCATTCGACTATTTATATGTTCAAAACTCGACTATTTCTATTAAAAAATGGCGATCGTCTGAGTTGGATGTTACTATGTTGACTTGAATATGATAAAATTATATTTCAGTGATGTTTATTAGCACCGCAGTTACTTTCAAGCACCGATTTGACAACACAATCTTTAAAGCATTGGCTCAACGACACAATGTAAGCGGGTAATCGATCCAAATCATACAACTTAAAAGGTTATGAGACAAATTTTTATCATATCTCAATAAATATGTTGACATCAACTCAAATGCTCACCAATTAGTTAAAACGATATGCATGATTTTAAAAAATAATAATAGATGGATGACCAAAATAGAAATTAAATAACAAATGAGTGACCAAATAGGTAGTTTGCCCTACCTCATATGCGAGAACCTTCGTTCCTTTAATATTTCCTTCTATCCGATTCCCACCACATTATTTGCAGGATTAATTTGAACCGTAAATATAAATCAAACCCATTTACCAGACGGTAAGCAACTGAGGTGGAGTTGCACGTGAGAAAGAGGAGGGGTTTATGAAACAAGGGGGAGAAAAAATAAAGGATAAATTATATCAGAGACCACTCAACTATAGCATTTTTTCATTTTGATTAGTATTTTTAAATTATTGTCAATAAAATCATCAACTATTTAAATGCATTTAATCATACCAATTGTCATTATTAATTTACGGAAGTGGTGATGAGGCAATTAGTAAAATTGGTTTAATTATATATTTGATCCTTAATATTTATGTATTCTATAAATTTAGTCATAATTTTAAATTAATTTAATATATTTAATCCTCCAATCATGTGGCGACATGTGTCACGACATGATTGGATGTTTTCTAAATTTTTATATTTTAATTAAATGATTTTTTCACCAATTAGGTGGTGACACAACACGGAAGCATAGCTTGATTTCTTCCTAAAAAGGTATTTGTGTTTAAAGAATACTCAATAATGTCAAAGTATATTGTCTCCTGCTTAGACTGATAAATCTAAAAGAAATTGTTATATCATCTATTCGAAGGGTAGAAATGAATATGGATATTGCGGATTCAGAATAATTTAACTCTTAGAAAATTATTGAAAAAATGAATATTTATTATCGAATCAGTTCGTCCTTCGGTAAAAAATGATGGCCAAATTATTCTATATCAAACTATTGTCATCACCTATTTAAAGAGAGAGTAAAACAAAGCATGGTCGGGTGTGGGGGAGAATCAAACCTTGGACCAGGCAGAAATCAAGCATCACCTCAACTACTAGAATTAAGGGGTTGTTTGTTTACTTTAGAATGGTTAAGCGTTGAATGATTCAAATGATGAATGATTCAGAGGTTCTGTATGAATTAGCTCTAAATGTGACATGATGTTTGATAACGGCTCTGAATCATTCAGAATGTACTTTTGTGCTGAATCATTCAACACTGTTTTGCTGAATCAGTCAGCACTGAATTATTCAGAGGTGTGAAACAAACGCGTTGAATGTTGAACGGTTCAACATTCAGCGTTGAATGGTTTAACATTCAAAGCTGAATAGTTCCATTCAGAGGCAAACAAACAACCCCTAAGGCCACAATTGTTATTTGTTTTCAAAATGCATTATATAATATGTTTTAGATTATGGTTGAAAAATCAAAATCAAAAGATATTATTGGATTCGAACATGAAATTTTAACTTAAAAGTGGGTTAAGGTGCGGCCAAGGTTAATCAAACATTTGAAAAACATTTACACTTAGGAGTGTTCATACCTGACTCGAACTAAAAAAACTGATATTTTTCTAAAAAAAATACCCGACCTAACATTTCTCGGGTGGGCCCAAGTCAAAAAATTTCATTTTTTTCAGGTACCCTGTTACTCAAATACCGTATTACATTTTTTTAATAATATAAATTTTATTTTATTTAAAAAAATAACAATTTGAAAATAATAAAAAACCGGGTACTCGATTACCTATAAAATCAGGGTACCCGATACATTCGGATCGAGAAACGGGCTGGAAAATCAAATACTCGAAGATTCGTGTACCCATACACTATTATTTATATATGGTTAATATCTATTAAATATACAAGTTTAAATTTTTATTTTTAAAATTAAATTATTTTTCTTTTATTTTTTATTGATTATTTTTAATTTAAAAATAATTATAAAATATAAAAATAATTTATAATTTATAAAAATAATTAGGAAAAAAGAAAAAGAAAACAATTTTTAACGATATATAAATTTTAAACTTGTACTTCTAATAATATAACAATAAAAAAAATTAATTTTAAAAATAAGCATTTTAAAATTGTATTTTGAATAGATATTAACGATATCTAAATAATAGTATAAGTATTTTTCAAATGTTTAATTTACCTTGGTTGCACCTTAACCCACTTTTAAGTTAAAATTTCATGTTCGAATCCAATAATACTTTTTTTTAATTTGATTTTTCTACCATAATCAGAAATATATTATATGATGCATTTTGAAAACAAGTAACAAATGTGGTCTTACCTCTAGGGTGCGTTTAGTTCACGGAATGTAAAATTATCAATGGGAATAAAAGATTACCAGAGAATATGATTACTGGGAATGTTATATTTTGTGTTTGGTTGGTTTAGCAGGATTGTAAGATTACCGTGTTTAGTTAAAGGAATAAAAGATTATTGGAATGTATATTTGACCAAATTGTTCTTATTATATATTTGTTTTTTAACAAGTTGATTTCTACTATAATATTACTATAATTAATTTATATATTTTTTAAAAAAAATTTAAATTCATAAAATTTATATAATTTTTTTTACAAAATTGAAAAGATAAATAGGTTTAATGAAAGGATAAATTTTTTTAACCCATGGACTTCATATAAAATTTTAATTATAGATTTTTTTGTAAATCTAAAATAGTTTAAGGATAAATTTGTAATTTAACATTCGTAGAAATTTTATTATTCAACGACAAAAGAATGATATTCTTGGGGGGGGAATTAAGGGCATTTTAGTCCAAAACATCGATAATCCAACAATACCTAAGGGAAGGGGTAATCACATTCTCAGTAATATACCTCAAAAAATCCGCTGTTGGTAATAAAATATTACCGAGAATGGGATTACCGACCAACCAAACGGAGGAATGAGGATTCCATTCCCCCAGTAATACAACATTCATTGAACCAAACGGGGCCCTAGTGATTGAGGCATTGCTTGATTTCTGACTGGTCTAAGGGTTAATTCTCCCCGGCACCTAGCCATGTTTTGTTTTACTTTCCCTTTAAATAGGTGGTGACACGTGTCATCACCTGATTAGTGAAAAAATCATCTCATTAAAATAAAAAAAATAATTTTAAAAATATTCAATCATATCGCGACACATGTCGCCACATGATTGAAGAATTAAATTTATTGAATTAATTTAAAATTATGACTAAATTAATAGAATGTATAAATATTAAGGATCAAATATATAATTAAACAAATTTTACTAACTTCCATGTCAACACTTCTGTTAACTAATAACGGAAAGTGATCTAATTGAATACATTTAAATAGTTTGATGATCTAATTAAAAAAATTAACAATTATGGTCAAAATGAAAAGAGGATATAGTTGGGTGGCTTCTGTTATAATTTATCCAAAACTAAAATAGACCACCCCTTCCGACAAAACCACACTGGAATTGATAGTTCGCAACTCCCGAGGTCTCCCCCTCTGATAAAACCAGAAAGACGAAACTAGAAAAGGGAAGAGCAGAACACAAATTTGCGAACCAACAAACAATTTCCACTGTCTAAGGAGATCAACACTCTCACTGACAAAAAACAAACAATAAAAATCCATCCTTTATCGCTTTCTGTTTCCCTTCATTATAAGGAAAGTGAACCCATAATATATATATATATTCCTTTTGTTGGGGGGCTTTTTTATGTGAAGTTTGAGCTTGGGTTTGTTTTCTTTAATAGCGATGGATCCACCAGCTATGATGAGAGATGGGGTGTACAATCTGACGGAGATTTGGCAATATCCAGTTGGAACCGGGTTGGGTCAGATCGTCGGTCCGAATCGGGAGGTTTCGGGTAATGAACCGGTTAGCTTGGGTGGTAGTGTGAGGAGGAGGCGTGATGGGGAAGACGAAGCAGCTCAGGTTTGTTGTTTCCACTCGTTGTAGGCAATGGCGTGGTATTTTTTTTCATTTTTCGCTTGTTTTCTCTTTGAAATCAATTGGGGTTTTAGAATCATACTTATTTTTTATTAACATTTGGCTTGTTTCTGTTGTTGGCATTTTCTGATTTGCTCTTGCTTAGGGAAAGTTCATGGATTTGATTTGACAAATTTTGTTAGTAATTTGGGCAGAACGATGGTGATGGGAAGAGACTTCAAACATCGGTAGGTACCGATGAGAATCGGGATTCGAGAGCCGAGGCAGAACCCAGTTCAGGCAAGCCTGTGGAACAGAAAGCACAATCGCCACCGGAGCCGCCTAAACAGGATTACATCCATGTTCGAGCGAGAAGGGGTCAAGCGACCGATAGTCACAGCCTAGCAGAAAGGGTAATTTGCTTATGCCTAAAAATCGTTCTCCTACGACGTTTACTATCGTCGTTTAGCTTTGACATTCGGTCGAAATTCGTAGAATCTGAATACGTGTCTTTGATATGAATCTTTTTTTTTGGGTGCGGGGGGGGGGGGGCAGGCAAGGAGAGAAAAGATCAGCGAACGAATGAGAATTCTTCAGGATTTGGTCCCTGGTTGCAACAAGGTATACCATATAGGCATATACCATGGAATTCGTAAACGGTTTCTTGTCTGCAAATCATATGCTATTTTGTTCGATATTGATGTATGGGAAAAGCTAGTGCTTGGTGTTCTATGACTTGTCTCTGCTTATCAGTAAATTGATTACTCATCCCATGCCATTGCCGAGGACTTTCTATTGCTTGTGATACCAAAACCATGTTGTGAGTAATTTTTAGCTGGAAACCGGCATATTTTTAAGCCGCTTGCTGAGTTATTTATTTGGACTCAGGTTATTGGCAAAGCGCTTGTCCTTGATGAGATAATTAATTACATTCAATCACTACAGCATCAGGTCGAGGTGTGGATCCTTCCGCTCGTGTAACGCTATTTATTTTGCAATTTTCCTCCACCACTTATCTCGAACTTGCATTTCTGGAAATTTTCCGGTGTTGCAGTTCCTGTCAATGAAGCTTGAAGCAGTCAATTCAAGAATGGACCCTGCCATTGATGTATTTCCTCCTAAAGATGTAAGTATTTATTCTGTGTTGAACCATTTTATTTGATTAACTCGAGGCCAAAAATTTATCACTATCCTAGAATAGGCACACATGCTTCCTTGGTCGTGTTTTCATTCATCTAAACTTAGATGCTCGTAGTCGTATCGAACATGTACTACGCTTGTCTTAGATTCTTGTATGTACGAGGGATAGCCTTCTATCTGTAGTCGGTAGCCCAAAAATGAACGGAAGAATGCGTGTTTCCTGAAATTCTTAACCGATTGCATGATTTCCTTCTTAAGGATTGACCCTAGGGCTGTAAACGAACTGAGCTTGAATGAACAGTCTTTTGTTCTTAGTTCGTGTTTGTTTGTTTATATAACTTTTCATCAAACGCTGTGTTGTTGATTTACACCCTTACTATGAATCTACATCCTGAATAATCTTGGGTAATCTTCAAATTCATCGAAGAGATTTCCCACATTATATTTCCGACTTATTATCTGTTGTAACGATCTATTTTTGGTGTTTCAGTATTGCCATCAAGTTTTCGATACCTCTGGTATGGCATTCGGTTCACAATTGACAAGAGAATACAATAGTGATACGTCACCGGAGTGGTTGCATATCGGTGGTGCTTTCGAGAGAACAACATAACACAGATAAACCCCTTGTCAAACATAATAAGAGCATTAATTTGCAATACTTCCTCCTCCGGTCTTAGCTGCAGAAGTATACCGCATCGTGTTAAGCCAAAGAAACTCGATAATTTCCTTGCTCGGCTCGACACGGGGCATGGAGACACGATTGCCGTCGAAAAGAATGATAAAACTTATTGCCTGAAAACATCATATACTTCTTGTGTTTTGGACAATCTGTTGTTTCACACCGCCTTCTCTGTACTAATACCTGAACAAAACAGATTATCCTGGGATTGATTATTGTTGTACAAGAAAGTTTACTCCTTGTTCTAGTTTACTGAAAGCTTAAATGTCGAGTTGAATCGAATTTTGTTTTAACATTGCGTAAGAGCTCTAGTTTCATTCTGAACGATAATGATTCTGTTTTGAGTCGTTGAAAGCATAAAGTTGGGACGCCGCCATAGCTTGACGGCTGCCGTTTGCAGTTGTCTTCCAGTAAATATTGACGAAACGACGGCGTTTTCCTCGGTTTCAAGGAAAAGTCCTCGTCGGCACTCGAACCCAGACTTCCAACTGACCTTCGCCCCTCCCACGCCTCCTCTTCCACGTCACCTGTTCACGCGCCTGATTAATTAGGAAACCCAAGCTAACGCGGTCCGAGATTAGTGATGTTTCCAAATTCAAGGGAAACAAAACAAATAAATGCAGTAATTAGTGATGTCTCTCTGTTTCATCGTTGCAAAGGAGACCTGTCACCTTCAATCGAGCTCCGTCAAATCGAGAAGCGGTTGTCGTAGCCGTTGTAAAAAGCAGTCAGGAATCCACTTCTGGATCTTTGAAAGACAATAGGGAAGATGAGTAGTGGGGATAACATTCGTTCATCGATGAGAGCGCAACCGGGTCGTAGTGAGAGCTTTAGCCAACAGGCGCCGGCTCGAACTGTCACGTTGGGCCGGTTTCAACCTCAGGCGCCCGCTTACCGCACCATCTACTGCAATGGTCGCGACGCCAATTTCGTCCATCGATACAGGGTATTTATATAATTTATACTTTATTATTTTGATTTTTTTAGTATCTTCATCAGGAATTCAAATAATGGCTGGATAGCGGTGTCACAGTCATTATATCGCGATTGCGGTGGTATGATACCGCAAAATAGCTGCCTATATTCTGCTATTCTACTTAAAAAAAGTCGTTTTTTTTAAAATCAATTTATTTGGAAAAAAGTCAAGGACCGCAATGACCACAATATAAAGGCAACGTCACTGAAAACGCAATTTAAATCCCTGATCTTCAGCGTACAATTCATGTTTAGCGTTTTGGATTTCCTGAAAAATGCGAACTGTTGTTAGCCTGAATCTCTTTCAACGTTTACGGAACTGATGTTGCCATTACGAGCAGCATGATTTAAGCTTCTAGTTTATTATTATTACTGATTTTTCTATTTTATTGGCTTAATAAATGTTAGTTGTTGCGTGGTTTTCTCGCTTTCTATTTTTAATTTTCTATATTGGACTGGTAACATTAGAGCTTTCTCTGGGCAATGCTAAAGTGAAGGAAATGTAAATCCATGAGAAGAATTAGCCCTCTTTTATAATTTTGAGTAACAGATGTTATTAAATTATAATTGAATGGAATGAAGCTCACACTTCAATTATACTGAAAATTTGAGTCCATTGTTAGGGAGGTCGTGTCTTTTGTAATGATTCAAGAGATGTTATTTCGTCTTATCCAGAGAAGCGCTAATTGTTAGGAGGCGGATGAGTTAGCAAAAAAAGGGATTGGCTGATGTTAGGGAATAATGTGGTCTAGTCTAGGTGGTTCGATTCATGTAACGGTGTGTCTTTTATGATCTGGTTGTATCTTTGTTGGTTGATTTAAACCTTTTTTTCTAATAATACTTGGAGGTACGCTTTTCCTCCCGCTTTTTGTCGGTCTACCTTTATGGTATATTGACAATTATGAAGGGGTTTTTTAATAAGACCTCCATTCTTATAAAAAAAACATATTCATGTCATATTTTATTTAATTTTAAAGGCCTGAATTGGAGTTTAATATCTTCATTTTTTATAAATATCTTGGTAGAGTACTATAGTTTAATTTTGTAAAAACCTTAGAATGTAGTGATCTTTCGGATCAGGGAACTTTAGACTAAAATTCTTCAGTTATAGTTAAAAATTGATAGCATGGTATCTGGCTTAACATTCTCTATTTTCTGGTGATTTGTGCGTGTCTCAAGGCTGTATAGTTTTATTAAACATTTCCTTTCAAAGCCAAAAAACAATCCTGCACTATGAATGTCGAACAAAGAGAAATCTATGTTGAAATATGCATTTGTTGCTTGATGCCATAGAGCTATAATCCTTTTCATTCTAGGGGTGAATTCAAATTTAACCAAATAGATTTATTTGATTAGTTCAGCCAGTTGTTGGTTTTTAAATCTATTAACCAAATAGATTGGACTGACCCTTGTAATTGTAATTATATGATATAAATAAAAACTAATTTATGTTATAATTTGTAATTATATATGATATCATTTATCTATATATTATATATTACATAATATACAATAATTTAAATATAATAATATTCAATTAAACCAGCAGAACTAACTGACTTAAGTCTGTTTCAGTTTTTTCAGTTAAACAAGTTAATTCTGTTGGTTTGGTCTGCTTTATAATTTAGTTCGGGTTAATCAAGTTTTGAAATTATATGATCACTGACTGAATTGATTGAATTCTCACCCCTATTTCCTTGACCTCGTGGAGATCATTTCTTTTCCTGTTCATGTTTTATCTTTTCAAATTTGAGCTTATGCCAATATTCTATGAGAGAGTGCACATCCAATAAGCGGATTTTGCTTCATTTATTATGCTTCTGGGGAGTATTTAAGCAATTTCTCCCGACCTTCATTTAATCCTATTCTAGGACCATCATCTATTGCACTGAGAAATACTTAACTGAATTAAACACTTATATCATTCTTAACCGAGCTCTTTTTCTCAGTGTAACATGCCATAGACAAGTATGGAATAGGTCAAACTAATGCGAGGTAAAATAAGTTGTAACGTTGGGGTCAACTAGATAACATCATATTTTTCATTAATTCTTTTCTTGTTCTTCTGGTTAATCATTTTTATTCGTTCATTATCCAAAGATATTTGCCTTTCCATTTAGGAAACTACCCAGATATTGGAATTATTTTGTTGGAGATTCAACTAGAGAACATCATATTTTTGCATAGTTATTTGTTGAGGTTCTAGATATTGATATGTCTGTTGATTGATCTTTTGCAATTTCTCTACTATTAAGTTTCAAGCAGTAGTTAACGTTCTATGCCTGCATGGATCAGTCAGGCAAGTTATAAATATTTGGAAAGTTCAATTAATGATATGCATGAGTAGCATATAAAACTTTATTTATCATTGATAAATGCACTTAAACAAAAGTGCTTGATGCTTATTTCATTTGCTTATATGTACACATTATGTTTTGTATAAACGAGATTACTGATTGAATTTGCATCACTGATGTAAGATTTTTTTTCCCCAGAAGTTTTGTTTGTATCCATACTTTGTTGTTTGCAACTGATTCTGTTAAGTTGGACGTGGTTCTCATTAACGCGGTATCTATTGTTTTAGGGGAATTCCATATCAACTACCAAGTACAACTTTTTTACCTTTCTACCAAAGGGTCTTTATGAACAGGTAAGTTATTGGAGTATGAAGAGTTTTAGTATTGCTTTATTTTTCCTCTTAAGGGTTAAAGAACATAAAGTGGCTAAATTTATTTTGATGCATGCTTGACGGGACATCCTATATTTTTGAGGAATACAAGTGGAACAGTTAAATTTGTTGCCAGATTGTTTAAAAGGACAACCATTACCAGGTTTAATTCCAAGAAAGCACTCCATGTGTTGATTGATACTTCAAAACTGCCACTCTGACCATTATTGTAATAATTGGTTTTTGGGTTTGGAATATAGTAATATACGTTAGAAATCTAACTTTATTTACTCATCAAGTTAGATTTACTCATGTGGATTTGGTTAGAGTTGAGAGATCCTATATTCTGGCTACTCCTGACATAGTTCTGTTTTATTCTGACAGTTCAGGCGGGTTGCTAACTTGTACTTTCTTATGGTATCAATTCTATCCGCAACTCCATATAGGTAAGTTTTTTCTACCATATAATTGAGTTTGTTGGCTTTTATAATTACAAAGAACTTTTCCTGGGTGCTGGAATTGCCTCCTTAAGTTGGAATTGCCTTTTATTATTAAGATTAAGGTGGAAGGCTGTGAAGAGTTCTTTCCTGAGCTTGAAGATGGGGAAGAAGAAGATGGCTCTGTGTAAGGACCAGTTGATCCTGGGGAAGAGACTTCATCGGAAGAGAGCAAAGGGGATGATCGAGGAGGTCTGCAAGGGCAGTTGAATATTCAGACGATGTCAGACCCTTTGAATAGAATAGAAGCATGGGCTCAAGGTGCTTCTCATGGGGATGACACGTTGAACGATGAAAATTTGAAAATTAACGTGGAAGTCAATAATATTTTAGGTGCTGACCCTTGTGAGGGGACAGTACTAGGTGAGGTTAAAAGTCAGCAGAAAGTGTCAGGAGTTTCTTCTGTTGAGAGAAAAAGGGTGTTCAGGGTGGAAGGTGACACCTCGGAGCAAGATAAAGTTGTCAAAGTCTTTGGGCTTAATTCTAAAATGGGTAGGTTAGAGGTGTTTGGGCCTGAGCAGGAAAGTCCAAGATCACTTAGAAATGGGAAGAAGTCTGCAAATTTTAAAAATTTAATACAAGAAGAATCTGATCTGCAATATGGGTCTGTTTCACCGGCCCAGCGGCGTCCTTTGGATAAGGAGATGTTGTTAGGGAGTCTTTTTCTCCTGCCTAAAAAAAAATCCCTACTGAGCATGCTGAGAGTTTAAATGGGGTCGAGCTTAAAAGTCATTATCAGGTCCAATCACCTTCTGAAGCTTTTGAGGAGAATAGTCGTAACATAGTAGAGGAGGAGAATGAAGGCATTCAGGAAATTGAGGTTTTTGATATGGGTGACAAAGGGATTAAGCTTAAGAAGGGAAACATCAAAATAAAGGTGAAGAGTTATAGGAGATGGACATTGGGATATCAGGTATCTAAAGGCTTGTCAATAAGAAAAATATTTGAAGGATTGAGGGGTAGGGGACGTTTTGCTAGAGTGTACAGAAGGTCAAAAACAAGACGAGTCTGGTTATGTTCAGAAAATAGTCATAAGCCCATTCAGAACATGATCGTCTTTCATAATTATAAGCAATTTTCATCAAGTCCAGGGAAAAGGGGTTAGGACGAGGAAATCATCAGTTCTGCTCATGTTCAGGACACTTTTATGGTTTATATTATTAGCAGCAATTTTCCAAAAAGTGTGGCGGCATATCCTTTTTGCTTCAGGGAATTGTAGAAAGTCTAGAAAGAAGAGAAGAGGTTTAATCAAGAAGCTTTGGTCAATGCAGAAGTCTCAACTGTTTACTCTCGTTCCTTTTCTAAAGTTCTTGAGGAAGCAATGGCTACATGGGAAGTCTGTCAGAGCTTAGGCATTTCTTTCAAGGAAGGGAGGGAGGTTTTTATTGAAAAAAATTAAAAAGCTGGAGAAAGGATCAGGGGTGGTAAGTGAAGTTGGTTAGTTGGCCAGTTTCTGCTTCTCGTAGGTTTGGTTTTCAAGTGTATATGTTGGATTGCAATATTATTTATGGAATGTTAGGGGCCTAGGGAGAAAGGGAAAAAGTAGAGCGGTGTCGAGACTTGTAAATAAGAACAAACCGGTCATATTGCTTTTACAGGAGACAAAATTGAATAAATGTCAGAAGGGGCTTATAAGGAAATTAGGAGGAAATCAGCTGAAGGGAGAAAGTTTCCAGCCAGTGGATTGCTATGTTTGTGGAATAAGAATGTATATGAGGTTAGCAGGGTGTATAATCAAAGCAGATTTCAGGCGTTATTAGGGAAGTTCAAGGTGTCTAATGTGGAGTGTGTTATTATTAACGTGTACGATCCTTCAGTAGAGGAAGAAAAGGAGGAGTTTTTTAGGCAGCTGTTGAGTTATGTCCATTCTGTTAATCTGCCAGTTTGCATCGAGGGAGACTTTAATGCTTATCTCGACCAAGAGGAGAAGATTGGTGCCTAACAAAATTGGCATTCAGTGGGTCTGCTAAGGAATTTCCTGTAACAATCTAATTTAATAGATCTTCCTTTGGTAGGTGGCACTTTCACTTGGGGTAATAATAGAGAGATTACTACTTGGGTAAGACTAGATCGTTTCTTATTGAGTAGCAGTTTCTTAAGTTGCTTTCCGAAGACTGTCCAGAAATTGCTTCCAAATCACTCTCTAATCACAATCCGGTGCTATTGGTAGAAGATGGGAAAAATTGGGGCCCTAAACATTTTCGGCTTTTTAATTATATGCTGGAGGAAAATGGTTTTGTAGACATGGTTCATAATGTAATGACTGATCGGGTTAAAGATAGAGGGGGAAGAGGAATTTACAGTTTATTACAAGGAACTAAAAAACGTATCAAGGAGTGGCCAATCAGAAATAAACAGGGGATTTCAGAAGCTATCACAGGGTTGGAGAGCAAAATAAATGATTTGGAAGTTAAGGCGCAAGGCAGTGGACTTTCTACTTATGACTAGGATCAGCTCTTGACATCTAGAAAGGAGCTATGGAAAATGCACAGGATTGAAGAAAGTATTTGGTTCCAAAAGTCGAGGGCGAAATAGATCAAAGATGGTGATAGAAACACTAGGTTCTTCCACCTATGTGCTATAAACAGGAACAGATTCAATACCATTTCGGCATTGAAAGTGGATGGGGAGGTGATGAAAGATCCATATCAGATTAAAGCTTATGTCTCCCAGTTCTTTAAGAAAGTCTATAATTTTAAAGATTATTTAGAGATGGAGGACTTGAATTTGAATTTTGCAGAATTGAGAGTAGATCAAAGGAATAGTCTGGAGGTTAAGTTTTCAGTGGAGGAGTAAGGGAGGCTATTTTCTTTTCGGACAGCTCTAAAGCTCCAGGTCCCGACGGTTTTACGATGGGTTTTTTCAAGAAATTATGGCCGACTCTGAAGGTGCAAATAATGAAGTTTATGGATGATTTTTATTACGGGAGAAAATGGGATCATGGAGTTAATCATGCGTTTATTTCCCTGATCCCAAAGAAAATCAATCCGGAATTCATTGAAGATTATAGACCTATAAGTCTCGTTGGCAGTCTCTATAAAATCATCTCCAAAGTTTTATCGAGGAGACTAGTTTCTGTGATTAAAGATACTGTGAGCCCTTCACAGTTTGCATTTATTCCAGGGAGACAACTTTTAAATTGTCTTTTCTTACAAACGAAGGCATAGACTATTGGAGGAAGCAAGGGCTGAAAGGGGTAGTTTTCAAAGCTGATTTTCAGAGAGCTTATGACTCAGTTGAATGGCCAATTATCTTTAGATTAATGAGAGTCATGGGCTTTGGTGAGAGATGGGTTTCCTGGATAAAATATTATCTCTCCACGGCGTCTATCTCGGTGTTAGTGAATGGCTCTCCAACTGAGGAGTTCTCGATGGGTAAAGGGTTGAGACAAGGTTGTAGTTTGTCTCCTCTCTTGTTTAATTTGGTGGGGGAACTTCTAAATCGTATGCTAATGAAAGCGGCTGATTTGGGACTCTTTCAGGTTTTGCTTTTAGAGGATCAGATTCTTTAATCTAACTCACTTACAGTTTGTTGACGATATGATTTTGTTCTGCCAGGATTCACCTACTTATATTCTCAATATTAAGAGTCTTGAGGATCTTTAGCCTAATGACTGGGCTTCATTTGAATTTGTCTAAGAGTAAGTTGTATGGAATCAATGTCGAAGACGATGTATTAAATGAATGGGCAACGATGGCTGGTTGTGTCGTGGGTGTTCTGCCCACAGTGTATTTAGGTTTACCTTTAGGTGCAAAGAGAAATTCAGAGGTTCTTTGGGAGCCGGTCATCCAAAGTTTTAATAAAAAATTGTCCGGGTGGAAAGCTTCCACACTGTCTATGGCGGGTAGATTGGTGTTGATAAAATCAATACTGTCCTCTATGCCTATTTTCTTCCTCTCTGTTTTCATAATTGAGTAAGGTTTATAGGAAGTTAAATTCTCTAATGGCCAACTTTCTGTGGGGGGAAGGATCATCAAAAAGACGAATTCACTAGGTGAATTGGAAAAGGGTATGTTAACCCTTCGAGGAGGGAGGTTTGGGAATCTTGGATCTGAATTTTGCAAACAGAGTGCTGCTAGGTAAGTGGGTATGGAAGTTCGCATATGAAAAAGACACCCTTTGGAAGAATTTGATTTGCAGTAAACATAATGTGAGTAATCTGTCCCTAGATATCAGCAAGGTAGTCTCTCCTTCGGACTCATGGATTTGGAAAGGTATTACGAAAAATTACTTGGAAGATGACGCAATAGGTCAAGGTTTGCGATCTCACTCTAAGATTCAAGTAGGCAATGGCAAGTCTATTGTATTCTGGCACGATGTTTGGATAAACGAGGATTCTCTAAAGAATCAATTTCCAAGGATTTATGTTCTTTCTAATAACAAGTGGGGAAAAGTTTCAGTGTTTGGTTGCCTTCAGAGTAATAGATTGGTCTGGAACATTAGAACGAGAAGGAATTTATGTGATTGGGAACTGGATTACTGGATTCAATTAATGTCATTATTGGAGAATGTTGTTCTGACTGATTCGGTGGATGATTTTCTGTCTTGGTCGGGGAAGGGAGATGGATTGTTCACTGTTAAAGCATGTAGGTTGACTCTTTCTACCAATTCAAAGGGTATGATTAATTGGAAAAGGTTCGTTTGGTCAGGATTGGCTCTTCCAAGAGTCGAAACTTTTCTGTGGCAGGTCTCACATCAAAGATTAGCAGTTAGAACGGAGTTGAAAAGAAGAGGTGTTACATTGGAGGAGGTCACTTGTCCATTTTGTTCAAAGCATGAAGAAACAGTTCAGCATTTGTTCATCTCGTGCTCGGTTGCAGGGGACCTATAGAGCAGTTTTTTGAGGTTATGGGAAATCTCGTCAGTCTTGCCTAATCCACTCTCTTTGTTGTGTTCTTGGTCTGACATGAGGCCAAAATCTCAAATATGAAGTTTTATATCGGGAGTTGTTCTATGGTCATTATGGAAGGCTAGAAACTCGGTGGTTTTTTATAATTGGAAACTGGACAGTTCTACTCTTTTCTTCATTTGCAGATTTAGATTGGCTAAATGGTTTCTGGCTAAGCACCCGAATGTCATTATTCAGGTAGACTCTCTTGTGGGGGACCCTACTCTCACAGACAAGCATCAAACTAAGGTCCTCAAAAGGATGAAGGTTCAGGGTTGGCTTCCTCCACCACTACATTTTTTAAAGTTAACGTTGATGGGGCAGTCAGTGGGGACGGGCTGTTGGGGGGAATTGGGGGCATTTTAAGAGATTCGAGAAGTAAAATTCTAGGGTCTTTCTCGAATGTTGTTGGTCCAGGTCCTCCACTCGCGGAGCTGAAAGCCATTGAGAAAGGCATTGATTTCTTTCTCTCGTCGGAGTGGGCGATGAAGGGAAGGTTAATAATAGAGAGTGATTGTAAATCAGCAGTGGATTGGATTTTGCTGCCGACTACATCTCCTCATTTTTTTAGTTCGATGATTGAGAATTGTTTCCTAGTCTCGGGAAAGGGAGATATGTTAGACACATACTAAGGAGTTGCAATTGTGAGGCTGATACTCTGGCTAAACAGGGGATTGGATGATTAATTTTGTTGCTTTAGAGGTTTTTCAGTAGGTTTGTGGTGGCCTATTGAGGTTTTGGGGCTGAGATAGTTTTGTTGTTTAAGGGTGGTCAGGTCATTTTGGTGTTTTTGATTTTCTGTTCTGTAATATTTAAGGTTTTAAGTATGTCTTTGGTTGTATCTTATGTACTTTTCCTATGATTAATAAAATCCTAAGGCACTCTTTTCCTCCTTCCGCTGATTAAGGAGCTTTCCTAAAAACTCCATTAATCAAGAGGGGGTTTTTTAATGAGGCCTGAAATTCTTATAAAAAAAAAGTTGTTCAATTTTACTGCTACCTGTCTTCACTTGAGGTAGGGTTTGTGGCTTAGGGCCTGAGTGAATTCCTTCATGAACATGATGACTTATTTTTTGTCTCAGATCTATTTATCTTCAGCTTTGAGTGAAATACATTTAATTTTCATTGGTCTAATGTACTCCATTTTATTTTATTTTTTAAAAAAAAAGTAGATGTTGGAACCGCGAATCTAATCCATACAGAAGTGGACATGACTATCAATATTTTTTTTCCTTTTTAATTTCCTGCCCATATCATGTTTCCATTCCTTAAAAGTTATAACCTTCCAATGGAACTTTTGATACTGCTTCCAGTTTTACATAGAGTTAATATGCTTCTTCATTCAGATTGGTTCTATGAAGTTCTATGATACTGTATTTTTTCAAAAAAAAAAAAAAAGAAAGATAGTCTTCACTAGGAGCCCAATCAGCTGCTTTTAGTACAAATTGTAAGTCAACCTTTCATATATTTTCATGCATTCCACGTATATTTCTTCTACCTTTTCTTTGTGCTCATTAATTGCATTTACTTGACATCTATTCTTCAGCATGTAAA